GATAAAGAGCAGCTTGAGGTGTCACTGATCCCTTGTGGTACATTCCTTTATAAACGGGCCTCATGTACGATTAGCGAGCGATGACCGGAGACCAGAGCATGTGCGATCGCAAGCTCCTTCTAACCGAGGGTGGACAAGGGTCGGTCGAAGGCACTCTACACACTCACAAAGCCACAGCTCTAACTTTTGGTGAAGGTTTAACGCGTTACAGTTTAATCCGTATTCCCGCAGTAAGGCTGAATATACCACCGGACCCCGTATGTCGCAGTTTCCTGGAGATGACGAGGTGTAATCATCTCAACACTACCTTCCTATGCCCAGCGTTTGCGATGATAAGGCTAAAGTACTTTGGCCCTCATCCTAAATAGTCCCGAGGAGCTCTGGGAATTGAAGTTAGCCAAATTCGTAATTGGCTCGGGTATTTTTATCGTCAAAGTATGGATACCGTTCAGAATGTGGTATCACAAAAGACAATCTCTAATTGTATAGGTCAGCCCGGTTACACGGGGCTACCACCTAAAGGTTAGGTTAGCCTCGATGCGCAATAGGTGGTCCATTCAGAAGGTCCAATTTTCAATTAACCTTTCCAGCAATGCGCGAATTACGCGAGTAATGTTGGCTTCCAATTTTCAATCATAGCTGGCTTATCGAGGAAGATTTTCCACTTCGCATAACCCCAAAGGAAAAACCCAGAGGTGTGATACGCTAACTTGCTGAAACCAAATGTTGGCGACATCACGGGCTTCAATTTCAGCCAACAAAATGGCGTTATAAAGATGCGGCAGCGCTCGTTATTGAGAATATTTCTGTCTGTGGCTAACATTTGAATGGCACTATTTTTAAATAGTAAATGTCAGAGAAACGGCTGGCAGAGCTGTTTTAGACTTCCATCCCGGACGGAAGGCGCAACCGCTAAGCTTGGGCTTCTCAGAGCTCTTTCGCTGTCGCCTCACCTCTTCCAGGATGGCCGCTTTAATTATCTGTAATTGGTCTAAGGACCAAAGCATTTTAGGGTTCTCTTTAGGGAGTAACCCTAACCTTACCCCATTACCCACGTCCACCTGACATCGGCAAAGGTTGCCTTGGCCCTATTCTGCGTTGGTACCATATGGGCCCTTTTGTAGCTGGACCTGGTTTACGTTTGGGAGAGATTTCCACAGGGGAAGATGTTGGGCCTTTCCTTTTGCCATCGGAAGATTGCGAGCCGTTTGGCGTCACTTTCATTGACTCCTCTGGAGAGGTAGAATTTGTAACGCTTTTTACTGCTCCAGTAAGTTTTCTGTTAGCCTCCTCTGGCTGTGACGTTAAGAGCGCTTCCTCCTCGCCTGTGGGTATTTGGATAGCATTGCCATTTGAACTAGAGCCCAGGGTGACAATATCGACATACATGGCCACGGGTTGCTGAGAAGGCCGTTGGCCAATTTCGGTGGCATTTGAATCAGGCGAAGTCCAAAGCAAAGTAAGTCAAATAAAATCAAAACCATTGCAGTAGCAGTGTCGTTGCTGTCTGGTACAAAGTTTTATTTGAGCTGTGTCTACTATTTTATGTAAATTTTCCCCATCTAATGGAAACCGAAAACGACTGGCGTGGACTTCACCAAAATCTCCTAAGCGGTTTCAATGCCGATGAAGAACAAGAAGAAGGGAAGTGAATCAGAGGACATTTAAAGATTTAAAATAAGGGCCTCTTTTTTAATTTTTCCGACGCGCACGCAATCATATATACACACATAAATTTTTAATATCGTTTATTTGTATTAACAATCCCGTTACAAAACTTTAAACCAGTCAAAGCAAGCAGACACCACCTTTTCGCGTTCCGCAACATGTTGCTGCAACACACTCCTCAGCAACTGAACAGCATAAAATACATTAGCATCATTAACTTAAAAAACCAGACACAGTACATTCTCAGCAACAAGTTTAAGCAGCAACAAAAACCGAAAGTAGAAAAGTAACGAAAACGCATAAAACGAACAACAACAAAAAGGTAGCTCACGCGCGCACATTCCACTTTCTCTCTCTTTTGCCCAATGCCGGCGGCGGCGGCGATGCAAAAGCGAAATGGCAAAAATCACTTTGAATTCTGTTCGTAAAGCTTTCCTACATTTTTATTTCAATTCTGCTACCATATTTCCCACGCGCGCACTGCCGACCGCCTGCAGGCAGCAAGCAACAAAGTGACAGTGTTGAAAAGCAAGTGATTGAGGCGGCGTTGCAACAGCTGCTGGTGCTGCTGGTAGGCTTCCACTACTGCAACTCTGATGCTGTTGACGTTGAGGTTGATGTTGCTGTTGCTGTTGTTGTGCTCACTCATCATTAGCAACCAATGTAGTTGGATTGCGCCAAGCCGAGTCAAGCTAAGCCAAGCGAAGTCAACCAAATATGCATGCGAATCAAGCCAAGCGCCACCACTTGAAGTCGAGGCCGGTCGTTGATTGCGGCTCGAACGCTTTTGAGCTCACTGAGCTGGCGTTTGTAGCTTCTTGAGTGCATGTGGCTGCCACTGCTGTAGTGTCTACTGATGAGCAGCCATCAAGATATCAATGCACCACCACCTGTGAGCTTGGCGGATGCACGCTTGCATTTCAGTCGCTTTCAAGCTTTAGATGTGCACGCGCACGCTTCCCCAACTTCGAGTCGAATTACCACCCAAGAGGCAAGCAACAACACAGCAGCTAGCTGGCATCATCTGCAAAGCAGCAGCAGCAGCAATACCACATACATATGTACATGCATGTAGCAGCGTGGGGCGCAAGCGAACGAACACCTACCTAGCATACGAGCCATCATCGCAAGCAACAACAACGAACCGGTTGTCGTCGTCAGTGGCAGCGCAGCGCAGCGCAACAAGCGTCTTTGGCTTAAAATTGTTACCAATTGTGAATGTGAATTTCAGTTAAACGCCGCACTTTTACCAGTCCAGTTGACTTTGTCCGACAGTGGGCGCCAATACATTTAGTTGAGCCAATATAGTATATTTACTTAGATTGTTAGCTGATAGAGTTGAGCAGCGAACGCGCATTACTGTGTGTGTCTAGTTAGTAGAAAGCAAAACGTGAGCGTGCGTACTAAGCGTTTTTGCAATTTTGTGTTTCTAACGGATTTCGATTTGTGAACTAAGCAAAAAGCTTTCGGAAATAAAACAGCAAATTTTGCTGGGGATGAACATGAATTTGAATAACTCCAGAGAAAGCAATAAAAAATAGTTGAGTTGAAAAAAAAAACAAACTACATTTTTGTTATTAAACTCGAAATTTAAATCCATTGCAATTTACTACAATTGTGTGTGTGTTGTTGAGCCAAAAAAAAAGAAGAAAAGTGCTGAACAATTTACAAGAATTTCAGCAAGAATAAACACAACCAAAAAAAAAAATAAAAAAAAAAAATACAAAAAATTCCCAGCTTATAATTGCAAACTAAAATCCAATTTGCGTAGTTCATCATCCATCTGCTGCGTCTGTTCCCGTTTTTCTTGTTGCTGTTTTGTATGTGCTTTGCTTGTGCAACATGAGATTGATGTACTACAACGCTGTATTGTTGGGCGCTTGCTGCCTGCTGGCAGGAATCGCTGCCCAAGGATTTAATCCCAATCGTGCTGTAAATGAAGTGGTAAGTGAAATGCAATCAAATGAAATAAATTCGACCTAAAATGAAAATAGAAATTGCGAATATAAATGAGTAAGAGTGCACGTTGTATATATTTTCCTATGTACATGCATACATACTATGTATGTATGTATGCGGTTATATAAAAATACACAAAAAAGGGGATTTTAAATTTTGTTTTCCTTTTTTTTTTAAGTTTTAAATTCGCCCACCCACTTTGTACTGTAACACAATTTATGGCTGATTGAATTCGCAAAATTAGCAAGTAATTAGTGCAGATGTTTAACCCTGGCGATGCCTCTATATATTCCCCTAAAGAGTGGTTTTTTACCGAAAAAGAAAAATAAAAAAGAAACAACTGCTATATGGGTCAATGGGGAGCAGTTGCTTGAAATCTTCTCAATACAGTTATTTTTAATGTTTTGTAAAAATCAGTGACTGCAAAGAAAAGTAATTTTTCGATTTTGAAAACTAATGCACATAAGTAGGTAGTAAGTTTCGATTCGCTTTTATCGAAGTTGCATACGATATTATAATTTTTTTCATGCAATTTTGATTAAAATTGATTTAAAATTTTAAAGCAAAAAAGCTTTCCCAGGATTTTTTTAGACTTTTCCGTTTGTTGCGTATTTTATTTTTCGGATTCTCCGGTACATTTTTGCATTGCTACGGTATGCTTAGGGATGAGTTTTCGGATTCGCTTCCAAAATTTACGAGATTTTTCAGTACTATATAGCCTTTTGAGATTTTACGTTTTTTTCCGGTTCTTTCAGGATTTCCGGGTTCAGAATTATAATACCAATTTTCATTTAAATTGGTTTTTTCGCAAAAATTTCGCTTGAGTTCCGAGACTTTCCTCTCTAAAAATCATAAAATTTTAAGGATTTTCGGCATATTTCGAAGTTTTTTTGAGACTTTTTGAGAAATTTTCTTCTGAGATTCGATGTTTTAGGCATAAAAACGTGCTGAGGTTTAGTTGTTCAGTTAAAAGTTTAGGGCTTGTAAATTACTCGCGCACACTCATCCAAAATATTTCTATTTACGGGCCTTCTCCTCATTTGTGTACTTATTTTTTTTTTTTTTTTGAAATTAAATATGCAAGTTCAATGAAGATTGCCTTAAAATGGTTTTGATCATTGCCCCAGCCCTTCTAAGTGACAATTGAAATCGATTACATATAACTCGAATCATCAATGGATTCTTAGAAGTACGGATGCTCTGTCTGTAACGAATTTTAAAAACTTTGCGTTCGTATCGAAAGTTCTCTTGAAGTATAAAAAGCCTAGACAAAAACTTTATTTGCGTAGATTCACGGACTAGCAATCATAAAATCTTTCATCAAAAAAATGCCTGTAAAGTAAATATTTTCTCACAGCTCAGAAATTACTAGCTAAATATGCCTTTGGTTTATTTTGTTGCCAATATTTTACTCGATGCTATTATTTAAAAACAGTTCGTTTAGATTAGGAGTGTAGCTACTACTGTTTTCAACATTTCACTCGAAGGCTTTATTGCCTACTAATGCCAACCGAAAAATAAAAACTCGATATCTTAATAGGTCCAATATTATTTATCTCCTTGAGTATATGCTTCGGTTATTTGATGTTCCGTAGAAATCATTTCAGAGCATGGGTAGGCGCGCCATTCGAGAGGCACTCGGGCAGCAGAGTTTTTTTCTTATTTTTTCATTATTATTTTTTTCTTTTTTACTTTAATTTTCTTTTAGTTTTAAGATCTTATTCTTTTTTTAAAGAAAAATATATTTTTTTTAATTCAATTTGCATACTTTTTGAGAAACGTATTTTTTTAATTTTTTCTTAATTTAACTTTCTCTTAATATATTTTTATTTCATTTAATTTGTAGGAACTTATTTTATTTATTTTTAGTTTATTTAAATTTATCAGTTCTCCTTTTCTAGTTAAATTTGCTTTTGAGTTTTGAATTTTATTGTTTAAAAGGAAAAAAATATATTTTTTTAATTTAATTTAATTTAATTTTTAGAAACTTATTTTGTTATTCCTTCTTTTTTTTTATTTTAATATTTTTTATGTCTTATCACTTTAAAAAGAAAAATAGTTTTTGTTTTTGTCATTTGATTTTTTTTTGTGTTTTGTCTTTTTTAATTTTTTTCTTTAAGGTTTTAGATTTTGTTCTAAGAATAAAAAAAGTTGTTTTAATTTTTAAGTACTATTTTAATCTACTAAAATTTTTTGTCTGCTATTTCTAATTTAATTTTTTACCTAAAGTTTAAAAAAAAATATTTATTTTCATTTTCTTTATTTTACATTTTTATTTATTAGTTTTTATGGTTTTAAAGAGAAAAATTTATATTTATTAATTTAATGTAGTTTAGAAAAATATTTTTTTTTTTATGTCATTTGATTTTTTTTTTGTGTTTTGTCTTTTTTAATTTTTTTCTTTAAGGCTTTAGATTTTGTTCTAAGAATAAAAAAAGTTGTTTTAATTTTTAAGTACTATTTTAATTTACAAATTTTTTTTTGCTATTTCTAATTTAATTTTTTACCTAAAGTTTAAAAAAAAATATTTATTTTCATTTTCTTTATTTTACATTTTTATTTATTAGTTTTTATGATTTTAAAGAGAAAAATGTATATTTATTAATTTAATTTAGTTTTTTAAACTTATTGCTAAAAACTTATTGCTAAAAGGCATCTTTCAGATTTGTCTTTCCAAAGTCAGTAAAGGGCTTTTAAGATAGTTGCCAGAATTGACAACTGTCATACGAAAGACTTTTTTATCTTTCGAAAGACTGTGGTGAATGAAAGTTAGTTGCCCGAATTGCCCTCACAATTTGTTATCATTTCCAACCCATTTCTCAAGCTCCGACCCCGTAGGCGCATACATAAGAGTATATTGATGAATTTGCTTAAACTTTTACAACAAATTTTGTGCTACATGAATATGTGGCACAAATATTGCATTTCACGAATAATCGACTAAAACAAACTTTTCTTTCAAAAACTATACTACTCTCTCACGAATTCACTTGTTGCACTAGCCTATATAAAATCTACAGTAATTTATAAGCCCTTTTTAACAAACAGTCAGGCCAGAACGTATTATGTTACTACAGATGTTTACAGACTTTTTTATGTCTTGCTTTTAATTTATTGAGCTGCAATTTTCACAGAAAGCAATTATTCTACGAGCATAAATTATATTTTTGCTTTAATTTCGCTCTTTGGGCCCCACGTAAATAAGACTATTTCATTTTTGATGTCTTAGTTTGACTTAGCGCTCATTTTGTCAAAATAAAAATAAAAATAAAATTTTCCTTAAATAAATGATGCTGTTTGGTCTTTTATTATTATGGGCTATGCGTTCTTGCGTTACATTTCGGTGCTTAATCTCTTACAAATGCCCAATAGGGAATAGCTGAAGTGAAGTGGTAGGCTAAAATTGAAGGGTCGTTTCACAGTGAAGTGTTAATTTGAAGTTTTTGTGCTGAACAGGGTCCTAGATACTGAATCGCTCTACAACTCAATTGTACTCAGGTTTGATGCCTTTTATGACTAAAATAAAACTAAAAAAACAAAAAATGATTTCTAATAGAGGCGAATTTCCGTATCCAATTAAAAACTTTCTCACAAAAAAGAGCCATCAGCCCTTGGAAACATTATCTTGCACAATCCCTTCATTTTTGTCTAGCAACATCAAGACGAACACAAAAAAACCGGAAAACAACCTCGTCCAACCTCTTAGCCAAATGTGTAAGCGCCAAATATTTATTTATCTAAATTTTCCTGCAGAGCATCTTAAATTGTCGTACATTTGTAAGTCTGCGCTTACATCACGGTTCACTTCTTATTTCACCCGTTTACTACCTTAGCTTTTTAAGACCCGTAAAAATAAATAAATGGAGCAAATGCAGTCAAATGCAACCTCCTTACTACAAATAGGTAGCTGCAATCATTTAGCCATTTGTTTCAACTCGAAATGCGAACTCCTCATTTACTGGCGTTATTTTGCCAGTTTTTTGTTTCTTTTTTGCTGTTTTCATTTCTTTCATTCATTCATTTCATTCTCGTTTGATGCTATTTTATATAAATTTTATGTTAAGCTGCTGAGGCTTACAAACGCGCCAACTCTTGCATTCTTGTGTGCGTATGCATGTGTGTGTATGTTTGTGTGCGAAGCAGAGTGAAGAATATGTGCACTTTTAGTGCACTTTCAATGCTATCGTAGCTTGTTGAGATGCTATGCATGTACATATATGTAGATGAGTGTGGGTGCGTGCGTGCGTATGTATGTACATATGTACATACATATGTATTTATTGATGTAAGCCTCGTNTGTAGATGAGTGTGGGTGCGTGCGTGCGTATGTATGTACATATGTACATATGTATTTATTGATGTAAGCCTCGCACTCTTTGGGGTCAATGTGTGTTTTTTATTATGAGCTTTTACCACATTCCCGCAAATTCCTCGATGGTTAAGCACCGATACTGGCATACCACTGTGTGCATACATATGTACATACATATGTATATACGACTATGTGCGGCCATAAAGGCAACTTCTAAAGACTAAAAGTATGCGCTTGTATTTAGTTCACTAGGAAATAGTTTCTTTTCACCTACATACGCCGCACATAAGTTGTTTGTACATTAGGGCGGAGTAATTTGTTCGGAGCAAAATTTTCGAAGAAATTCTACGTTTATATGTAAGCAAAAATGGTGAACAAACTATATACCAAAAATGACGTTTAACCCTCCCAATTTTCAAAAGAAAAAGCAGTATATTGTATGAAGAAACACAAAATTTTTTTAAATGAAATGATAATGATGAAATGATTTTTCTTTTAAAAATTGGGAGGGTCGGGTCAGACGGAATATTTCATACACTTTTTTCGAAATTAAATTACTCCGCCCTAATGTATGTACATGCATACATATAATTTTTTGGAAATATGTAAGTGCCTTTTCTTGTGTTTCAGCGCGCTACTATTTTATGCTCTAACTCACAAGCTTGGTGATCTA